TTTTTTTTTTTTTTTTTTTTTTTTTTAAAGTAGACGTCAATCACAGCCTGTCCATAAACTTGCCACTTTCAGCATCCTCAGTGTGGAGATACCTAGAAACAGGTAAGCTCGGAGGATCTCTCCTTTTTTTCAGAAGAAGCCGGAAATCTTAGTTCGAGATACTCCTAAGATATTTACAACCTCGTATACTGACCCTATCTCGCGCTTTTCCACCTCTCCTTCTTTTTCTGTCCCTCTTCCCTCTGCAGTCTTGATAGACCGCAGTGTGTCTCTCCGTATACCCGCTATACATTTCTTCGCGTACAAATCATTATACTCTAGCAATAAATATTAGATCGTTTAGGAGAATCTAGACGCAGTAGTTAGTCCGTGTATCGCGTGTGATTCGACGCAATACAAATCCGTGTAGAAATCCGACAATGACGAGAGCGTTGCGCATAGAGGACGACGCTCACGGCGTTCGATCGGTAAGCGGGGGCTATATCCCTAACGGGCCTCTTCCCCCCGATTTTCTCTTTCTCTTGCTCATATCTTCCTTGCGAGGATCAAATCTCTCAATTTGCCGTGGCCGCCGCGACGGACGGTTGCGCTTTCTGATGCGTTGCCTGCAGCAGGTTGTCGCAGCAAGTGTCCTTCGTCGTGGGCAAATTCTTCATTCTCAGGCACGTTTGTAACGGAGGTGATAGCGTTGTCTCTGTTGGATTGCCGCCGTTAATCGCTGTTGGAGGCGTCACCTCGTTTTCGTTCTCAGTCTTGCCCTGATGTTGACGGGCATTGCATTGGCAGGAGCTCGTGCTGTAGGGCGGTTGTAGCCGCGAGAAACAGTCGCTGCATACCCTCACGGGATTGTAAAGCTGCTCGCTAGGCAGCGGGATGAAGTTCTCGGAGCAATCGGCGCAGAAGATCTTGCCGCAGCATCTGTATGCGACACAAACGGTGTGTTGTTTCCTCCTTGGAGCTTTCTTTTTTATCTTTATGTAGCGTGTATTTCCGCAATCATTAGCAAATCTAGCGTCTACCCGCTTTGCGCGAAATGCATACCTGCAGTGATGCTTACGTCTACCGAGCCAGAATTTCGTGTTACATCCCATGCACTGAGTCACAGCGTGATCGGGCACCCAGAGGGTAGGCGCCGGAGCCAACTCATCCACGGCTTCCCATGACATATCCGATGGTAAGGACTCGCCGTGTTCACCAACACTCCCTACAGAATCCGGTAATGACCCCTGTGCAAGTCAATCGCGTGAATTTTGCAATGAAATAAGATACGTAGGAGGCATAAGAGCTAAGAACAGACAAGATCTATCAACTGAGGAATTCTACTCACAATGTCGTCGATGCGATCGGTATCTATATTATGATTGTGATTGCATACTTGTTTCAGTAGCGCCAACCTTGTCGTGTGTAATTCCTTCCTTAAGGCTTCTTCTTTAAGCTACAAAGAACAATTAGGGAGTTACATTATTTACTTATTTATAGTTCGATCGATATATAATGAATATACAACACGTCGCTCGTATTCGTACTCGTCTGAAACTCGTTAAAGTAAGGTGATAAATACATTTTCAAGTACCTTATGCTCTACGATAATTTGTTGTATTCGCATTTGGACGTCGCAACATATAACGGGAAGACCATCAACGTCATCCAGCCAGTCAGGATTATCTAGTATAACGTCCTGATGGGTTGGCGAAGCTGGGCATATGCTACTGGGAGTTCTTGATATCAATGGGGCACTAGTATCACTCACGTCACTACCCTCGTTGTGATTGCGACTGCACGACGAGCAGGCGACGGCGCGTCCTGTAGTGCCGGTTTCGATCCATGGAGACACGATATCTCGTGACAAATTCGCCTGTGACCTGCAAATTTCCGACATATCTTACGAACGCTCACGAATAACTTATCCGTCTATTATAGTCGGGCCAGTAAAGAGTATATACTCACACTTCCTTCTCGTCATTTGTCGCGGGCACGACCGAGTCATTATTGGGTATCAGGGTGTCGGTGGAGCTGTCTACCGACGGGTTGGCGGGAGAGTCGCTGGATGTTTGATTCGCGTCGCATTTCTTTAATTTAATATCAGTCTCCGATAAGCTTTCGCTCGCGGCCCGATTCTGATTATCGTCCACGTTCTTCGCATCCTTCTGATCCGTTTCAGTCTCAAGCGTCAGAGAATCGAATTTTCTGCGAAAGAAACAGGAGATACTTGTGAAATTTGAGGACCACATCAGGTTGCGCGCGCGCACACACACATACACACACAGCGGATAAAAGAAGTATTTGCACACCTCGTCTTTCTCGGGATTTTGGAAAAAATACTTTATTCAAATTATGTCAATATACAAATGAAAACAGTTCCAACAGAAGCACACACATACTTGGAAATAATATCTCTTATTCTTGGTGTATACTTATCTCAGAAAACAAAAACAAAAATAAGAAACGGATTGTGCAAATACTTTTTTTTTACCTACTGTATGTTACGCGCAGAGACTTGTCGACGCCTCTGTTAGTCCGCGACTGAAGGTCGATTACATACTTCTCCACGGAAATACTTGGATCACTAAGCCTTCGATGTAAATAAGCCGCGTGATCGGGTGCGTGCATGAGGTCGCCGTATGATCTCGTCTTCGTCATTTGCCCCTGCGGCTCTTCGCTGTCGCCACCTTCGATGTCTATTATCGTTATCCTTTGTTTGTCGTCTTTGACACCGAGCGAGGATTCCATTGAACCTAAGTATACCTCAGACCATAAGACGAGGTCGCGCACGTTACAACTTGGCCACAATACCTGGTAATGTGGAAAATAGCATATAGATAACGCGAATTGTTTAGCACCGTATAGAATATGAAATCATGTTATAAGTGTGCGATACATCGGATCTTACTTGATTTTTCAACGGTGAATACAAGTGATTTACAAACGAAGCGGAGTTGAGGAAACGCCAAACGGAGAATGTACGTTCACGTATTCTCAATTGCCGCCTTTCCTGTCTAGTGTTACATAGGAATGTGCCGAACAGCTGAGAGTACGTATGTTGCGCCAATTTCACCTGAATACAATGCACCGCATGAGAAATCGTAATAATTTCTGAATCGCAATTATAAACACATAATTAATAAGTAATAGAGATACAATTCATTCGAATCTGCATTCGAGTTTCGGTTTATACTTACAAGATATGCAGCAGACATTTGGAAACTACACTGAAATTGCAGAATCAACTGATGGACGCAATCGAGCCACTGAAGGAATACTGGGCAACGTTCGTTGGGGTCGTCGCAGCCAATAGTCTGACCGCATCTGTCTGCGAACTTGTGTCCGAAATCCAACCATTCTCTCTCGCATAGAACTTGGAATCCCTGAACGCCCAGAACAGAAGGGATCAGCACAAGGAATAAACACGAGTTGTTACTTATCGCTGTCTGTTAAAAGCACATACCTCCATAGTGCGATAATATGGATCGAGCAGTATTTGTGCCAACGCCACAATCTGTGACGTCCTGTCCCACCCGTCGCTGCAATGCACTAATACTGGCCGACCGTCCCTCTCTATCGCGGACGCCACGGTGACTGCTGCTCGTAACAAGCCCGACATATGTTGCAACCATCGCGTACCTTCCAGTAAACTCAGCCAACTGCAAAGAAAGAGTTGGATTAATAAAGAATCAGGATAGTTTGTTAGAAATTATTGTTCCAAATGAGACTCATGGAATTTGTTGCCCAGTTCAACAATTTGAAGACACTCACTTTGGTTGATCCGCGTCCGAAGCACAGAGCTGTCTCAGCGCGTGAAAGCTCTTCCGTATCGAGTGAATGTTCGGCAAATTCATAAACTGTATGTCACAGCTCGGATAATACTCGGGGCATTCGCAACCGCCGCCACGTGCCCGATTCGCCACTGCTGTCGTATATGATCTAGCGTCGACGATTAAAACTTTCTGCAAAATGAGCATTATATATCTATAATTAATTGCTCACCTGTTTAAATATCTGATGTGAAGATGTGACTCGACTTATTTTTCGATTGGGAATGGTGCTAGATACGAACTATCAATTTAAATAATTTTTAGACGTTATGTAAGATATGTTTTTTTAAGCAATATGAAAATGATTCATCTTCCAGATTGGTGTCGTATCTTTCATGAGTTTGTTTTCGACATTTCGTGAACATTTTGTATGAGAACAAATCCATGAAGAACGCGACACTAAACCGAAAGTTAAAAAAAGCGTTATGTAAAAGAGAATTCATACTTTAGCAAAAAACAGAATGACAGAACTCAATTAGAACTTGAACTGATAGAAAAGAAACTTTAACACGCGTGTTGATTAATATCTGATCACCAGCGCGAGTTCTGATTGACTTCTGCTTCTCTATTTTATATTAAGATGTGATTTCTCTCTAAAATCCTTACCTTAGGTGGATTTGGTGTAATTGTATCGTCACCGGCGTCGGAGTATGTAATAGGTGAATCTATCATCGTGCTTTCGCCCTTATCATAGTTACACGCGTCCGAGAGAGCCCTCAGAAGATCTTCGTCTTCGGAACTTCTCCAGCCGAGCCAACCAACTTCTGGTTGGCTACTGCGAGCTATCACGGCGCCGTTATTCACATGCCTTGAAATGCGCAAAGATTACAATAATCAGATAATAAAACGAGTAAACAAGTATTAATTATAAATTCCGCGTTTGACGTAAGAATCACACATACCTCCATACAACGGCTGGAATTCGTCTGGAACTTCTAAATTTGGCAACAATCTCGAGGGTTTGGTCGGAAATGCATGCAGGAACCAAAAGCTGTAACGGATAGGATGGACACATCCTGTAATCCTTATTTATTTGACTTATACGCCATGTACCATGTAAATTAAACTTCAGTCGCTCGACCTAGAAGAGAATTTCGGCATAACACTTGTACTGGCATAGTTATTAGCCAACAGAAGTTAAGAGACATGCGTGTTTTCTTACCTCTGAAGTAAATGTGACAATATAAGAACTATTATCTTTCCCAAGCCTAGGATAATCTTTCCCTTCTTCTACAGACCATGCATAGTAGGCGAACGCAAATATATCCTCTACATTCTTCCGCGGATAGGTCACTTTGTGTAATCGTTTGTACCACTCCAAACAATGCTCGTTAGTGGAAAATGCACAGCTGGAACATTATCAATATTATTCTGGTTAAAGGAGAACACCACAGTAGAAATTTCAAAAAATCAATCATTTTCTAAAAGATTATATTGCATTCCCTATATTATTACACTTTCTGATAGATTATCTAGGCAAATTAGTTAAAGATTAGTTGAAAGTCGACGAAGTTGGGGAATTTGTGAGAGCGTTGCGGAAATGCGTAAGATATTAAGAGGGAGAAACTTTAAATGCATATCTCTCGAGACTATCTTTTTAAAACTGACTCGGAAGATATTTAGAAAGCTATTGATCCGAACTTAACTTCTATTTTCACGGTAAATTCTTTGTAACCGATTTTCTCCTTTGTGTGTATGGATTTTCTTTTTTTCCAAAAACTCACTGAGAAACATACAAAAAAGTGACTATGTTCGGTCGAAAATTTATAACCTTTTTTTTTTTGTAAAATCTGCCATTTTGTGAAAACAGAACTTTTCTTAAAATTCCTACGTACAAATGAAGTTAATTTCATAAGTTAATTTATAAACATTTTTATTTTATTGACTTCAAATTAATCATCTGGACAATGTAATGTTTCTCAACAAAGGCCTTATCTTATGGAACCTAATTTATCAAATAGAATATATTTAAACAATAACATGAGTCTTTCTAAAACATACACTAGATACGTACAAAATGACGAGTTAAAAAAATATATTGTTACTTAAAAAAAATTCCTTTTTCTTTTTTTGCCCTCACTGTGGTGTTTCTCCTTAAAACAGTCACGGATATCAAACTATTTTGGTTCAACTCAGACACATCTTTCAGTGCTAGAAGAGTGCTTCAAAATGAGAATACCAATGATACGAGTTCTATGTCTCATGTGTGCTATGTATTTCTTACTTTTACTGAAATTACGGCAACAACAGAAGATCAAGGGATATACCTTAAAGAACGTGCGTCCTTGCACCCGATGTGCAAATAGAAAATCTCCTTGACTTCCAATTGCTCGATCAGACCCAAAGGTATATTGTAACATGTTTGGCTTAACTGCAAGTAGAGTCTGTAATTCGAAAGCGCCAGAACTCCATCCGAGGTGCGTCCTAGTGCCACGACCGATTCTCCGCTCAGCGGTGTAAACGGCACCGTCAACGTTTCGTCCTCGCACTCGAAGTGTGTGTGCTTGGGGAACAATTCTGAGGCGTGTAGATGGCATATGGACTGCAAACTGGTCGGCTCTTCGGAGCTGTCCATGTCTGCTCTACAATAAGAAAGCGATTAAGCGCTCATTTGTGTCGGATCCGTGCGGCGCGTTTCAAGCGCGTTTCCCGAGAGAAGCGGAAAAAGGAGGAAAAACACGCTTATTGTCTTATCTACTGCGCCGTTGTCTCATTGTTCTCCTCATATCGGCGCGAGTCGATTCAAGATCTACTTACTTAACGCGAAACTTTATCGACGACTGTCTGACGCCCCGAGATTAAGATGTCCCGTGTCTCCTGTAACACACATCAACAATCTGCAATGAGATGCGCACGGTCCACCCTGCATATGTGTATGTTCGTAGCGTCAATATTTACATTGTCAATATATGCTCAAGTGCGAACATTGACACACACGTAGGGCATGCTACTTTGTGTGTTTACACAATCGTAGGCCGAAAAGCGCAAGACCGTGCGAGAGGTTAAGAAGCATTCGTTTTCGTAATTTCGTCACTACTCGCGCCCCTCGCATCGTCGGTTGGGTGACCTATCGACGTTGTATCGACTCGACGCCGCGGTTGTCACGAGCGATACTCGTCAGCTGTGCGAGTCACCGACAACTGTCGTTAAAATAATGTAAGACACCGCCATGGGACTATTTGTACTTGAACGTATGTCCTCGTGTTCGGCGCGCTTTAATCGCAGTGTCATCGTGCGGCCAGCCAGACAGACAGACACACGGCGCGGGGAAAGCAGGTCCCGCGCCGCGACTGACGCTCTCGCGCCCGACGGACGTCGTGTCGATTAGCGCTAATTCCGGTCGACCGACTTTTTTTCTGTGTACATTATTAGAGGTGGGATCGCAGCGTAGAAAGGGAGCACGCAAGTGAGCGAGAGTGGAGAGAGAGAGAGAGAGAGAGAGGGGGAAAGAGAGAAGAAGAGTCATTAACGCGAGAATTAATTGTCAGTTCCGATTCCGTCGCTCTTGCTGCAATTTTGTGTACGGCCGCGTTCGGAACTCGACACTGCCAATTTCGTCGGCCGCTTTCTAATGCACTACCTTTTACGCTTGAAATAAATCGAATTGTACACATACACGCACATATTCAGACGAAACTCGCGGTATGCCAGAGATAGAGAGGAAGAAAACTCCATGAAATTCGTGTGTGTGTGTGTGTGTGTGTGTGTGTGTGTATGTATGAGAGAGTGCAATTGAACGTTGATTAACCTTTGTTGTTGCTTTACGCGTTACGTTACTCCGACGACGTGCGTGTGCAATAAAAATGTGTGCGAGATACAACGGGGGGGATCCACGATGAAATACGCACACTGAAACCTTGGAATTCCAAAAAATATCACCGCGAGATACAGGCGCGAAAGTGCAAAGCGCGGAACGAGATAAGCGTATAATAAGCTGATTCTATTATTTATCACTTCTTATGCCAGGTCTGCTCGTTCCGTCTACACCCTCTGCACTTTCCCGTGCTTCCTCCCTCCGCTCCTTCCCGCCTTCTCGTCGGCCGCGACTACGCTCGTTTCATTTCGAATTGCGGGCGGAATACAACACGCGGCGCGGCCGAGAACGGGGCCTGATATTGCGTCTTCGCGTTGCAACTCGCGACGCGGAACAACACGGCGCAGCGGGCGATGCAATGCACTATCAAGTGCGCTGTTATATCGTGCATGCCATACCGTATATTCCAACCCGCTTCGTTCAGTCTTCCGCGACGCTCGGTTCGCTCGGCCTTTCCTTCGCGCTCTTACTATTACGCGACCGAGAGCCGCCAGATCGGCGACATGTGTCAACCTTGAGACGCGTGTCGTTCTCAGCCGTGCTGAGTCGCGAACACGTCGCGTAATTACTCGCACGATTGCTCGCTCGCTCTCTTTTCCTCTGTGTTTCTCTCTTCCTCACACCTTCGCTGTCTCTCTTTCCACTTCGGGAATGAGAGAGTACGTAACCACGCGCGACGTCGCGCGTACGCATGCAAGTAAGGCTCGCTTCTTACTCACTTCTAAATGACGAGGTGTCCCACGCGATAGACGACGCACGTCTGGCTATATTCCGTTCTCACACTGTATTCTCTTCTCTCTCTTTCTCTTTCTTTCGCTCTTTCCTTCTCTCTCCTTCTCATTCGTCTGTCCTCTCACGCGGAATCCATCAGCCAACCGTGGCGAGACGCGCGTGAGCTGAGCGAAGGGAACAGACGCCACGGCACTAACGACGACACTTCTCCGCGATGCGGGACATCATCCTCACGGGCACCACCACCACGACGACGACGACGGCGATGCACAAGAAAAGAGGCTGATTACGGGCGACAGTGTGCGGCGAGGTCGAATGTCGGCGGAAGCAAGCACGCGGTGGCGGCGACGGCGACGATCAGCAGTTCTCATTACGACGGCTGGCTCATGGGAGCGCGTGGTCGCGTTGCCTTGTCACGGGACGGGATGCGCAATCATGGTGTCGACGGCAGAGTTTCGTCGCAACGACGACAACAGCGACGATGATGACGAAGATGGTACGTGTTGACTGATAACGTAAGACCCGTAAGACTAAGATACGCACGTTCCTCGGATCTTCGTAGGAACGAGTGTCTCACTCATGACCGCGCACCACCGACGTGAAAGCCGTCGACTACTGACAGGACGCTCTATATACGCGAGCTAAAAGGCGACTTCCCATGAACTCTTGTCCGATACGACGTGGCGCTACAGTCGGCTTATTAAAGGTTACAACATATCCAATAGGAGAATTTGTTTTCCAGTCATTTCAGGAGATATGTCTTCCTATTGGATACGGAATATATAGTAACAGTCAGCATAATAATATTACTAGATTGTTTTCCAGTAAAAGACAAAATCATTTAATTGGCTAGATATCATCTTTAGATGAAACAATTTTATCTCTTGCTAAGAAGCAATTTTAATCAGTCAATTGTTTATTTTTTTATTATACTTCCTATAATTTTGTTTTTTTCTCATTCGCCATCAAACTTAATGTACTATAAATGTTTCGACGTCAATCGGTGATTGGTTCGTTGAGTTTTGGCAGTGATAAGATGCGGGAGGCCAATCATCAATTTTTTCCATAGTGGATCGTGTAAAAAAACCTAATTTTGAAGATATTCACTTTTCAAGAGTTTATTGAGGGAAAAAATTTGTGATCGTTTCCCTGAAATGTTCTTTAGCGCACACACATACTTATTATTCAAGTTAGGTATACTATTGTAAATTTCCAATATTGTCAGTACACTTCAAAACATGTCGCTCAAGTATATTGAGTACTCGTGGTGTAATACGGATGGAGTGTGTAATAATGATTAATTTAAGAGCATTAAAACAATAACTCGTATATAATAGAGAAAAATTGAGATCATAAATTACAATATACGCATATGTATACATTGTAATGAGTTGCGCAAATTTTATTAAATCAATCTCTTATAGAAATACCATCTTGATAGCTGAATTAGAAATTCCAACAAACCATAAATTATGAATTACAAATTTCATCTTTGACGTTAATGTGTGTCATAATGTCATAATGTGACATTGTCTAAAAAATTGAAATACATACAATAAATTGTAATTTTGTACAAAAACTCAAGTAACTGCCACTTATTTATTAGTGGCAATATACAAATGTTTAATTTTAGACAATTCAATATCTTGTAGTAGCACCAAAAACACAAATGCATATTCACAGTAGTTGTGCTTAGCATTTGCCATAACATTGTTATGGAGTGTATATAAATGCATGTTTGCATCATCAGTGCAACATCAGCGTCTAGATCATATGCGGAAAAATACATATCCTGTGTTAATTTATATTCTAAAAAGCTCTATCACACTTTATTCCTGATCACATGTTCTTCCAAAACTTTGAATTGTGTTGCAACCGCCTCTGAAACGTCTCGTACCATCCCTGCACTGATGACAGAGGCACAAAGTTCTCTGTTGGATTTGGCGTCATTTGCGCCTGAGTCACTGAGAAACTTGTCACATAGTTCATAAAACTGGTTAGCATCTTCCCAGCGAATTCTATGGAATTGTTAGTTGTAGTGGCAGCAAGTGTAGCTGCTTGCTGCTCGATTACTATCAGTGGTTCCACAGATACTCCAATTTGAGCTACATGTGAGATCTTGCCTATCCCAAAGATACCCAAATTACTGTTCTCGAATTCGTGATTCTTTTTCAACGTGGATATCTTAAAGATAGCTGATGGCTTAATATTGGAAATATAGCCGAGAAACTGCCAGTTGGGTGGTGCACTAGGATCAGGCCAGCTAAAGTACACTGTGAACAATTTGTTTGTCTGAATGATGGATTCTGCTGTGAGGAAAGACCTCACAGTTTGTATGTTTAATTGTTTGTAAAGAAGTACTTGTCCTTATGTTTTTTACCTGCACCCCCCATGCCATCTGGGAATGGCACGGTACCAGTCAGGAAGACCACAATATGATTTATATTATCAGCATCAGGCACATTGGTTAAGAACTGATTCTCTCCAACTTGTTGGAAGTTGGTTTGAACCTGGCAAAAAAAGAAAATATTTATCACAGAATACATCTATGCTGCACGAATCGATACAACTACAGAACGTAACGGGACGATAACAGGTGAGTTGACAAGATGTTGCTCTGAAGAAAAAAAAAAATGAAAAGCACCGTATATTTTCGTTAATCGCATGGTCTGAGATAAATTTAAGATTGACGGGTGCAGTAACACGCGCAATTGACATGAATTTGTACTTACGAGTCGTCCAGCCACAAGTATACCGAGCATTTTCGGGATTCATCTAGATCATTCTATCGTGTTGTATTTATCGTAGTACATCGAAGCAGCATCACAAGCACTATGTTAACTTCGGGATCGTGCTACTAATCACTACTAATGCACCGAGTGGATTACATTGTAGTACATTGTTCACCACGAGATGTGCTACTAAATAGAATGGAAACTTCATGACGCTAAGCTCAGGCCTGTTCTTTGTAGCTGCACTGCTAAACTGGGTAGTGGCGTTGAGATATTTAATTACCACATATCGAACACACTGGAAGCCACATTGAAAGAAGGAAGGCACTGCTAAACTAGTGCAATAAGTTAAGCTGCGTTTGGAAACGTCACTCGAGTATTCTCCCTCTCTTTTTATCTCACTTTTGTATTTTGCTCACTCCAACGGCTAGTAGTAATCACTAGTAGTGTTGCACACAGGTGTGTTTCCGAACGCAGCTTACGAGTAAGAAAACTTGTCTCATTTTAATTTATTGCACCAGTTCAACAGTGCAGCTACAAAGAACATGCCGTCCTCTTGCACACTTTCGTCATATATTGGTTTGGTTCGTGCACTTGATACGCGTACTATATAGTAACTTTTTATTAAATAATCTTAATATTGACAATGCATATCAACGACGATGCATTCAATCGATACAATAAGTATTCTTGATCAGTATTATACTAACTTAATATATCGTTATTTATATACTTCGTCGATATTAAGATTATCTAATAGAAAGTTACTATTTAATACGCGTATCAAGTAACGCACGATGTAAACCAAGCCATTATCTAACTTTTGGTCCACAACTTGGCTACGTTCGGAAACGTCACTCGAGTACTCTTCCTCTTTTTTTATCTCACTCTTGTATCTCGCTCACTCCAACGTAACGGTACACTTTGATGGCTGCATTCCGAAATTCACTGCCAGTACTGAAAATCTATAGTTCATGTCACGTATACTATAGATTTTCAGTACTGGCAATGAATTTCGGAACGCAGCCGGTGACGTTTCCGAACGCAGCCCTTGCTTTAATCTTTAAGCTGTAATAAATTGATCAACCACAGTCGATTATTTAAAAAATAACGAACTGTGGTTGGTCAATTTCTTACGACTTAAGAATTAAAGCAAGGTTGTGGACAAGGGGTAATTCCATTCTCACGATTCAAGAATAATCGATTGTGATTGGCCTATTTACTTACTGTTTATTTCTTACTACTACTCCTACTGCCATTATAGACGACGCATAAAAGTGGCTTATAGTTAATCAGAAGATCTATTTGCGACCGCATTGTACATATTTCTTTAGATCGTTCTCCAATAAGGAACACTGTGTTACTATGGCATTGGGCATGCATTACATAAAGCTATTTTATTGGTCATTTGTTATCTTAGAAGATATCTTAAATAACGTGTAGCTAATAAAATGATTTTATGTAACACAATGGCCTGTATTCTGAGTTCTCTTTTCTTAAAGTTATATACTTAAACCTCTTGTCCACAACCTTGCTTTAATTCTTAAGCCGTAAGAAATTGACCAACCACAGTTGATTATTTTTTAAATATGTGGTTGGTCAATTTATCACGGCTTAAAGATTAAAACAAGGTTGTGGACAAGGGGAAAGTCATATATTTAAAGTCAAAATAATGTATGCTATAATAATGATTGGTGCAATCAGGCCTTAATCAGCCGACTGTACTGAATGCACGCCATTAGTCAAATTACAAAAGGCACTGGATAAAACAGTCTAGACAACCTTAGGGCTTGATTCATTGCGGTGCGTTCTATGCGAATTCCCCGCAAACGTCACTCATGTGCCGTTATGTATCACTATTCGTTCGCGACGCGTCGTACTCGATCGCTACGTCGTGCTACGACTCGAATCAAACGCGTCTGTTCGATTAATTCTCTCACGTGGGTGGACCGTGGTGCTTAGGTGGGCAGAGATGGTAGAAAGCGTGCGAAATTAAGGCGAAAAAGACATCAGTAGGCAAAAGCGGAGCAAGTGTGTCGCATTGCCGCTCTTCGTCGCGCTCCCGTATCCGTCTCTTCGTAAAAAGACGCGCGCGAATTCTCTATGCGAGCGAGCGAGCGAAGCACGCCTCTAGAGCGTGCTCTAGCTCGTTATTTCGTTGCCGATTGCGCAAATCGCCTCCGCGATTTCCGCGATCTCCCGACAAGACCATCACCCCGATCTCGATATCGCCACACATGAGTATTATCTTTCTGTGAGTATTGTTACAATAATCTCGAAATGCATGCGTCATATACATACATGTATAGATTCGAGATATTAGACTGATAGAAGGATCTTTTCATCTGCGCTCTATACATTTAATCGATAGAGAAAGGAAAAGTAATTTTTTCTCCCCGTTGATTTGATATGTCTCGAGTGTGTTTTTACGTCTGCAAGACGAGACGAATGAAACTTTTGTCTGCTTCGAACGAAACAAGGTACGCGTTTACATTTTAGAGGCAAGCGTCTTCACCTCTGATCATTCGTCTCATTTGTCCAATCTGCGCGGACTCATCTTCAATTTTAATCATCAACGGACGATTCGTCGCGATTTATCGCGCGTATACGCGCCTCTGTTCGCGCGCGAAACTTCGATTTTCGAGCGGTCGACGAGCGCGGTGCCACGCCAGCTATCGCGCGCTCGAACTCTCATACCATATTTGATCAAAAACGTCGCGCGACGGCTGTGTGCCTTTTACTTGGCCGTGTTGGCTAGTGCTACGCCGCGGTATCGACGACGCGTTCTAAATGTTACCTCTCCGGCGAGGAGTCAGAGCGAGGTTAGGAGCGAGGAGAGGAGCCCTAAAAACGACAACGGAACATGGATGGGGATTGACTGATGTCATCGACCGTTCTTAAGGCGACGCCGCGTTCGAAATTTCAGCATGACTGGCGATAATCGATTTCGTTTCAGCTCGGTGTGTGTTGGTGACAAGTTGTGCTGTATACTGTGTACCATATTACTACGAAAAAAATTTACGAGGAAATAAGCGCGCGTCTAACACGACGTTATTATATTCGTAGCTATAATCACAATCCTTTTTTAGAAATCTCAGACATGTTTCAAAATTATGACAGATGTTTTAAAATTATTCAGAATGTGTTTAGGATGTACTAAAAAGTGTCTTAGAATATCCTGAGTACCCAAAACAACCTTAGGACGTTTTGTGCTATTTGGAATCTTAACCGTCGTAAACATCGATTTTTTTTAATCTATTGTTTTTCCTTCGTCCTTCGCCACGGATTCCTCTTAATCTATTATTTTTTTTCGATCTTTGCCATGAATTCCTCTTGAATAACATCATAACAAACAATGGCAAAAACAATGCGTTCGCTTTGTCATCCTGCTTCCATAAAACCTCGCGCGCTCGCTTGCGTCAGAGAAAAAACGAAACGATATCATTCGCCATTTTCGTCGCGACTACTCTCTCTCTCTCTCTCTTTCTCTCTTGCCTTCTCTTTCTCGCGCGCGCGCGGGTCTAAACAATGAAGCTCGTGAAGTGCGCGGTATGACGGTATCGATTGAAAATCGATCATGACCGCACGCGACTTTTCTGTCCGCGGGGAATGTTTTTCGAACCATAGCGCGCGCGCGCACACACGGCAGCGACCGCGACGGCCGATGACGTCATCGCCGCACGCGGTGCGGCGGCTGGTTAGGTGCACGGTACCGTCGCGCTCGAGCCAACCACAAAATTCAAGGTCCTTGGAGGAGCGCGCGAGCGCACGGAGCGGTGCGGCGGCCCGGAGAGGCCCGTGCGAACTTCACCGTGTGTGACATCACGCCTCATTGTTGGAGGTTTACGTCATTCTCCGAGTTCGCCTCAGAGTCGCGGTGCGCGGAGACGGCAGACGGGTGCACGCACGCACGTACGCACGTACGCACGCACGCACGCACGCACGCAAGCAAGCAAGCAACACGCTCGCTCGCACGCACGCAGCAACCTCCTCTCCCTCCACTACCACCTTCTCCTCCTTCTCCTGTTCGTTGTCGTCGCGGAAAAGACAACAAGCGATAAAATGTCGCCCACCCCGTCGTCGTTGAACTGAGTGAGAGCCAATCGCTCGCTCACTCGCTTACTCCAGTGGCCGTGGCGCGTAAATCGTGGAGGCGTCGATCACGGAGGTGCGCGTTAGACGTCAGCGTCGTATCGGGAACGCGCTTTCAAGGGACAACGGACACGAGCATCGCGCGCGATTACCTGAAAGAACAACCCAGTGTATTCGGCCTTCGCGGGGGAACGATGCGTTTGTCGCGGAAGCGTGTTAAACGCACGCTACGACGCGTCCGGGTCGTCGTGTTGAAGTCGTGCTAAATTGCTCAAGAACCAATTATCGAATTATCGTTCTCGCTCCCGTCGATATCCGCGCGAACTCGCGCGATTTTTCCTCGCCGTCGCAGCGAACGACTTGGCGCGCACTTCACGCGACTTCGTCATCCGTGTTGTTGCGCCGCGGTGCGTTGTCGCTCGGACCGCGCGATCCTCGACGCGAGGACGACGGCGGTGAGGCACGGTGAGTGCGCGGCCAGTGAAAATGTGATTGATCGCCGTCGTTTGCACGCGATCCTTACCTTCTCTGAGCGGGCGCGCGCGCGCGCGCGCGTGCTCGCCAGTCAGTCAGTCAGTCAGTGCGCGCTCGACGACGACACGGCTGCCGGCGCGCCTCTCTTTCATTTTAAATATAACGGTGTATAAATAAGTATGAGCAATAGCGGGAGTGCGCGGCGAGGCTCCTCGCGCCACCATCGCCGTTGATTTTTCTCTTGTCCGCGCGCGCGGATACGCGTTGTTTATCCACGCGCTCTCGCGTGTCAGACGAAGAGAGGGAAAGAGAAGGATAGAGAGAGAGAGAGCGAGAGAGAGACAGGAGAGAAAGCAGCAGGCATAAGTGAGCGTGCGTGAGCGAGGGGTGCGCATCTCGCCCCGTTGTCGTCGGATGCACAGTCGAGGACAGCTCTGACTTTTTTCATTGACGTGACGCGCTCGCTGCTACCAGTGCGTTCCCGCTACATCGTCTTCTTTGTGCCGCGGGTATGCGGTTCCGGCATCGACGGTACATACCATCAAGGTTAGTGCGCGCACCTTTCCGTAGCGTTCTCGCATCCCCGTGGGCCATCGACGAAGGATGAACGCAGGATGAACGTGGAGCGGCCGATAGGCCGAAATATACAAACGCTCGAGTGATAAGCGAGAGTGCGGCGATCCGTGGGGGGAGAATGAGTGTGGCTCTAACGAGACGCGCTGGCCAGCTCGAAGTTAGTCGTCGCGAGGCGAGTTGGCTCCGAGTGAGAGAGGTTGTGGCGTTGAAAAGCGGTAATTACTTTGCGCTCGATTCCCCCGTCGGGCCAGCCGAAGCTTTGTTCGTCTGTGATCTGTTAGAGAAATTGTTCGCGATCGACCGTGTACAACAAGCGGATGTTGTCTTCATGCACGACGGTCGCTTGGTTGGCACATAACACACTGATGGCAAATGATAACTGAAGTTCCCGATATTTCGACGCGATCGAGCTGTCCGTGGATCGTCGTGCTCTCGCGGAAAGCTGTCGAGCAGAAGCGACGGACAACGCGGTGCGACACAAGGTGGTTGCGTGTTAAGTGTGTCGTGTCTATATGTACGTACGGAACGTTCCGCCAGTGTGGAATCGTGTAGACGCACACTGTGTTATGTTGTGCTCGTGAACTCCGCGACACGTTTGTTGGCAGGGCGACTTAACGTTTCACGTGCTCTCTCTCTTCCTCGCTGTGTCCCTTTGCCCGATAACTGAAGTTTACTTTTTTTTTTCTCAATATTTTGCAAGCCGACCACGTGCTCGTTGTTCGTTCGAAATTACGCGAAACACATAAGTGCATGATAGTGCACGCTTCTCGGGAATGTTAGTGACTAATAACGACATTTTAATGACAGCAGTGAGAACATCAATTTAGATCACGATGTGTAGGATTATCGAGACTGTCGATGTTGTAAATGTGTGACAAATTAATAGGATGTTCAATATTTTTTTGTCTTACTCAGGTGAGAGCTGGAAACTATCAACTAAGGTACACAAGGACAAATTCTTACCCTTGGTGGCAAGCATTTAGTACACTGGCATGTCTGACCAAAATGTCACCAAGGTTGGTATAATGACAGTATTTAGGACAGAAAAGTTTATCAATTGCTTTTTCATTATGTCAGAAATGAAGACATCTTAAATAAAGCTCAAAAACATTAGGATGCATAGAAATCTGCTATAAAAGCTATTGTTTAGGAATTATATTTTTGATGACTATTTTCTTGATAATTATATTTTTCTAACTACTTAGTAGTAGTTGAAGTTAAAATAGTTTATCTCTTTATCTCTATCAGAAAGGTCTAATATTTCATTTCTCCTTTTCAGCAGAAAAACTTGGAACTTCCAGTTGTGAAATATACAGGCACTATCATACTTCTGGAAGCAGGCATTTAGGTTGATCATATAGTTTATATAATGAGGATTAATTATCACCAGACATTGATCAAGCAGAAACTCGACAGTCAGCTGTGCATCCTGTGTAAATATAAGTCTGAATCTTAACTAATTTTTATTTAATTAAAAATGTATCAATACAATATATCTCATTTTGATATTTCAGACACAAGAAATATACGTGATGCTGTTGTTTCCAAGTTACTTGCAGCTATATGACCAGCTGCACGATGCTGAGGACTGTCCAAATCACCATTGTACTGATGCCTGTATAATGCTCGAAGAATTCTGCATATTTGCCACAGAATTGGCGCGTCTGTGCGAGCGAGGGTAACATAAAAACTTTAGAGTATATTTGGCAGGTTCGATTTTGCTAGGTACTTTTCAGCACTTTTGAATGTTATCACGTCCCATTTATGCAGTATAACGCGGCTTCCACTGTATTATAATTTGCACCGAGTTTTATACGTTTCTACTTCCGCGCATCGATACGCGCATCGACTGTTAGGTGAAATCTGTATGTTGCAGGCAAAAAAATTGATCGTTTGATTATGATCGCGGTGGGGGATATTTTAGTGCAACGATGAAACGCAATGCGATGGCTGTCGTTGCAAAGTTATTTGATATTTGGAAGTACGTTCAATTTCGCAATGCGTTCAACAATAATTTATGCCTGCTACTATCTAGTGTATCCTATTACCACACTCTGATGAAATCCCATTTGCCAATTACGTAATTGACGTTTCTTTACCGCTATACAGGTGTGAGTCATATAACTTCATGATCCGAAATAGCCATTGTCATTTTTATCGTGAATGACAATTATTAAACGCTGTACAATGCCGGATGACGCGTATTGCCAATGATACATATTAACGGTTCGCATGCACGGTAAGAAAATCTCAAAATCAATTCCATATCGCACAGATAGTTTGGTGACTCACCCTGTAATACGTAGAACTGTATAAACGATCGGGAGTGGACAACGAGAAGCGCTCTTAAATATAAAATCTCACTGCAAATCTAGTAGTCACATTAGTAGTCGTCTCTCTTTCTCGAGTGTGATAATATCGGATTAGATATGAAATCTGAAGCTGTTGTACTATACGTGTATGTGTTTTTATTTACCTATAGAACAGCTGTTCCTATGAACGCCTCTCGCTCATTACACGGTGATGGAAAGGATACTAATCACAAAAGTGGCTCAAGTAAGTCAGCATGATTCGTTCCACAGTCGTGTATTTTGTGCACGTCGATCCATCTTTCCGAGCTAATTATCAATCAATTATTCGTTAATTGTTTAGAGAGGATGGCATATGAGGTATTTTTGGGCGGGTCTTGCAATCCAACCACCTGGAGGTCAGATATAGCGATACCGACTCTTCAGAACCTCGGAATTACTTATTACAATCCTGTAGGTTATTAACGTATCTTTGTCCCCTTATCTTTTTCTTACACTTTCCCGCGCGAGCGAATGTGCGCGTGCGTGCACGTGCTAGAGGTGATAATTGAATTGTCGCATCGTAGCAAGTGTCGCAATGGGGCCCAGAACTGATAGCTCAGGAGTACGAGGCAAAGCAAACAGCGCGGGTCTTGCTGTTCGTGATCGACAATCAGACGCGTAATAGCGCTGGCATCATCGAAGCGGCTCAACTGGCAGCTACGCGCAGCGAGTCCCTGGTCCTCGTCATTTATCCGTATCGCCAGGGACAAACTATACTTGGAGAAACGGTCTCTGTGCAGTACGTTTACCTTAACGTCAATCAATCTCTGTATACACTGCACACATGCTTGATCGAGTAGTTTTCCCTTCTCTGTTATTGATACTCGTTCTATTTATCTATTTACTCATTTCAGAGAATATTACGATTTGATGAATGGATTGTTAGTACTTCAGTACCTAATGGAGAGGCAGAGGATACCAATATTCGAGAGTGTGTCGATTGCTCTTCATTGTACGTCCAAGGTAACAGATTTCATTCCGCACTTTTCGAACAAGATACCGATGTCCATTTCTGTAGTTTGCAACGAAATGCTTGAAAACCTCGAAAATTATACGATAGAACACTTGGAGGAATGGACTTTGATCTTTTTTCTTTCAAGATGTAGCATTAATCCCCGGCAAACGCCTCAAACTTAATAATTGATATACATATTCCGTGTACAGATGCTACGCGAAGAAATCAATGTACAAGATTGCACGGACTTGCACACTGAGGATGGCATCAAACCTATAAGAATCTCGCTCACTCAAAATGGAACAGATGCAGTGTAAGTTTCATTCAATTTAATCGATTAATATACCGCCTGTATATTTTCTACAGAAAGAAAGGAGCATAAAAGTTATAATTTATAGTGATTTATAAGCTTAATATTTTTTTTTTACAGAACGTTGCGGGAAATCTTCAAGTCTATGGACGTTACTGATAGCGGTACGGTAAAACTGGGGGAAGTACGTACTCAAATGTTTTGTCGCATGAAGAATTCTACTCAAAATTTATCCACTCGATCTTCTATATACGAGTCTTTTTTTTCTAGGCTTGGGTGATGTTGCAATCGAATGCAATGTGCAATGTGTCTCTCTCTGATCTGCTCAACACGGTGAATAAATCCGGTAACGTTTGTGTATTATATTTATGTTACGTTTAGCATACACTCGTCTTGACCTGAAAAAATATAATAATCAGCACGATAATCGGCTGTTACGCAGAAACGTGCAGGAGCTTGATAGACGGATTTCCGGCGAAAGGGGACCCGACGGAACTGCGGATCAATTTCGAGCAGTTTTGCGCCCTGGCCAGCGAGTCGTCCTGGACGCGGACGAAGAGTAATGGCGTCACTTGTGAAAGTGAGATACCTTCAGTATGGAATATATTATATAGGAAGGCCTCAAATTTTCTACGCCGAGCTATCGTACATCCTTTTAATCGTTTCCTAGGTATTTCTGATTTTCAACAATTTCCCACGATCTTCGGCACTCACTGGCTGTCTATTTTTCTATCTTTCTTTCTTTTTTCGCCTTCTCCTTCCAAACAAATCTCACTTTCTCGCACCTTTCCCCGACTGTCTGCTTCTCTCGTCACTAAATTAGAAGAGTCGTGCAGAATCGGAAGTAGAGTTTGTTCGATCGATCAACTTGAAATCTTTTCCACAGATTGGACCAATTCCTTCGTACAACAGGAACCCGAGAAGAGGGACATTTATATCGGTGTCGTCAGTAAAGATCTGTTTTGGTTGGAATCTTCCGCTGTGCCGTTGCTAGAGTGAGTGTTCGTCCGACGACAATTATATTTCATCATACTACAGTACGCGATTATATTATCTTCTATCATCTATCTATCTACATTCTATCTACATTCAAACGTTCTTTTTTAGATCAATGAGATTGTCTCTCTATCGACCAAGCCTGAACGAGTACAATGTAAGGTTGTTGCCGCAAGAATTACTAAAGATGAAGAACTCGCGGCTGATCCTGTTAATAGTGCCGCAGCACTCGCGCGGTATCGCCATTATGGCGTTGGCAGCTCACTTGATTGGACTGCGCGCTAAGCTCGTCCTCTGTGTTCAAACTCTTCCTGAAAGTACTGTCGTGTCTGGTGAACAGGTATGACTAACATATAAATTATATCTGTTATGAGGATTAATAATATCTAGGATTGATATGAAATGCGGAAGGGTTAACTTTTTCAAATCTTTTCAAGAATCAAGTTTCTTGTAGTTTCTCGTACTAATGAGAGATTAATTTTAATATTTGTCTCATATTTGTTATTGCATTTATATCCTTAGACATTTTCTTTCGCGAGATGGCAGATGTAAAGTTGTCTTATTTTTGACTGACTATTTAGCTGACTGAACAAGCCAGAAAAGACTACAACCGGGGGAGGATGTACTTGTCGGACTACGCGACGCGCGAAGGTGTACCTGTTTTTCAGAATATCGCTGATGCTCTGCAACACGCGATACAATTAGTTCAAAGTCCCTGTTGACTTAATAATATTGCTCTTTCTGTTTTTTTTCTATTTTTTTTTTTTTTTTTTTTTTTACGCGAGT